GTCCTCGAAACCAAACTTTTCTTCGTATATTAGTTTAACATGTTGTACAAGTGTGAGCGAACATAGACAAGCGCAGACCTTTTCTCATGTCTTAATTTTCTTTAAAAAACATAGACGAATTAGTTAGAAAGTTGGGGACAAAAACACATGCTTAAAGAAACCGTCACACTTTCTTCTGTTATGCCATCTTTTAGAGAGAAATAATAACCATTATCGAGATCCGGCTGTTACAAGATTGTTTGCTTATGTGGTCGATGTTATGTTGGTGAGACATGCCGACCTATTCGACAAAACTTGGTAGAACACAAAAATGCTTGCAAAGTTAGCTGGATCCAACGGCCAGAAGTACCTGAACACGTGGTAAAAACTGTACATAAAATAGAATGGTCTCAAACTAGTAGGTTTTCAGATTTTGCTACGTCTGCTGTTAAAATAAAGATGAGAGTGTCTATCGAAATTAATAGATTAGGAAATACGTCCAATGTGAGGAAAGGTGGTATAAGGTTGAGGAGGAATTACTTAAGCTTGATTGATAGATGAAAGGAAAGAGATTGTGTTGAGCCGCCGTCCAATAGAAGACGACTCAATTTGTCTGCTCGGTGATGGTTCTAACTTCACTCACACTCGTCCAACATGGCAGATTAAGCTCACAAACCAAACCAGACGTACCAGATTATGCAACCATAGTCGTTAAACGTTAATGCCCCTAGACCGAGACGTTAGGACAAATGGCTTCGTAACTTGAATTACATGCTTACAAGCTCATATCTCATTATCTCAACCATACTCGCTTATGGACTTACGCAGTCTCAGTCAAGGCTTTCTTTTGGGTCATTAGGCTTTGATGACCACAGTCTGACATTAGCCGTTTGATCACTCTGATTTAGGACCTGTATTGCCTATAGACTAATGTCTATACGCATTCACACACATACGTATACACACACACACACACTCGAGCAAATGTAGCAGAACAAGTATTAAAGAAAATTAAAGATAGATTTTTAATTTTCATTATATCAGGTCTCTTATAAAACCGAAAAATGTCACTTGTCAGACACAGACAAGCACACGTATAATGGCTCAGAGGCCCTCTTACCCCAAAACGATTAGGTACTGTAGGCAGCCGGACGGATCGACTGGCTTCAGCTCAACTCCGAGACCAACCTCTTCTTCGGTCACCATGATCATGGTCATCAGCAGCGCCTGGTAGACTGAGCTACCGTCTATCGCCTCTCGAGGCTCGGCCAGTCCGACAGACGTAGAGTTCGCATCGAAGCTTAAGAATTCTGGCTCCTTGAAGTGAGAGTTCTGTAAAAATCAGTGGATCATCATCACACCGATTGTAAAACAACATATCTTAGAGAAGGATAGTACACCTTATTACAAGTACTATCGACTGCTAAATCCCATCTCAGATGCACATGAGACAATTTGTTGGCCATAACTGGATGAAGTTATGGAGCTCACGTTCATTTTCGGCAAAAGTGTGTGATGAAGAGGTTCGAAAGTCGACCTCATCAGAAGACGATGACAATTCCTCTTAGCCAAAAGCTTTACTCATCCTAGGCCGATCCAGTTGTTGTTATCGAATTTGCCCTCAATCTGATGAGTAGGCTTCACGAGACAATTGAGTTTCACTTGTGTAGAGCTGATTCAATCAATTGAAGGAAACTATTTGGCTCCGAATAGCTGTAGGAATGATACCCTTAAATAATGAGGTCCTTTGTGTGATAGACAAAAGCTTAGCACCCTCCACTGAAATTTGAGTAGATTGCCTCAGGGAAAGCGTAATCAGAAGAAAGGTATTTTCCATTGCTTTCTTGTGGGATCGAATTTCGAATTTCTTAATGTGACACTTTAACCTGAAATGGAAGTAAGCTCAAAATCCACCTTTTATTCGAATATGAATCATACCAAGCAGTGATCCCTTCAAGGTAGTGACAAGGCCAGAAATTGAAGAATAGTCCAGACGCCACTGATTTCATCAACAAGCTTAAGCAAGCACTCTAAGTAATGGTTATTTCCGGGACAGAGAAAGCGTTCGAACGTTAAGTAAAGCCTATTTTGTGTTAACTAGTTTACTGGTATACTCGAAAGCCTACTTATAAATGAATAATAAGTAGTGCAGTTTATTATAATAGCAAATATAACATCACCTAATTGACAATCTCATCAATGAATGTGATATGGGAAAATGCCTGACATTCCTTGAAAATCGCATTTGTTCTGTGATCTAAGGACACTTGTGGCTAACGTGTCAAGATTACACGTTTCACTGTCATAGTTTGGCTCCCGCTGGAGGTGTTGATCGGACCTATGCGAGGTCGAAACTGCAGTCCACTCTAGCCGAGAATAGCTTTTGACAAAGCAAGGCCATGTGAAATCCAATGACAACGTCAGCTCTACTCATATTCTTATGTGAAAATCCAACTACCAGTCCTTCATCAGCTTAAACGAAAAATTTTTAAGTCAAGCCTGGCAGAATGGCTCTACAATTGTC